TAATGATCTAATCTAATTCATGATCTAATCAGTCATAAATGTGAACTCAAATGGAAATCATTTCAAGATCTCATAACTAAATATAATGTTTTGAAAATAGAGATAGGCACAAATTTGTGATATGTGTTAATATAGTGTACATATTCAATAGAGATACAAATTATCCAATAATGAAAATTCAATGGAAAATGTTCTCCAAAAATACCGTCTATATCTATGGTCTCTTTCAAAAAACACTGTTGCAATAAGTTCTTGAATGGGTATGCTCTTCTATCTTTCTTCATAGAGTGAATCGTCCAATTTAGCGAAACCGATGTCAATTCGCTTGATAGCCTCAATGTCGTTCACGAGAGAATAGCGTTCATACAATACGCTATTCTCTCAGGTACGGTAGTCAATTCAATTTTTTCTTCAACATCTTCAACTTCTGTAAGTTGTGTAAGCTTTGTCGATAGACAGAATTATTCTGTATCTCAGCTGTTGTGGTGATGAGACTTATCTCTAGATCTACTAAGTGTCTCTGGAATAAAATGATAGCTTTTATCGCTGTCAAGAGGCTAAAGATGAATTATTTGATAGCTTCAAAGGTATTATTATCAGGGATCAGTTGACTATTCAAACGACTTACATTTCTTATTATATTCAAAATTCAAAGTTTATATATATTCAAAATAGAGATTTCAAATTTTAGGAAGTACTCAATAAAAGTATTTGAAAATGGATCTTGTGGATATTAGAATTAGTTTGATATATTATTCTCTTTTCTAATTTAGATGGGCAACTGTAACACCCTGTTAGTCAGTAACATCGACACGTATGTCATGACTCCCTTTTTTGCGATTTATCTGTTAGTAGTTTGAAATCGGTAAGTGGATTTTTCTGTAAAAAGACTATTTCTCCGTCATTTTTTCGACTAACTAATTCATAGAATGGGGAACAAGGCTCAAGACGCGTCTCAAATAGCCTCTCTTGAGTTAACGTCAACCTCAACCTTCCCGCGGTGTTCCCTGTTTTCACTAATGAGGCTCTGGCGACCGAGTGTTCGGCGGGATATCTGAACTCTTCCATCTGCTGTCTAGAGGAAATGCTAGCTGCACATTTACATCATGGCAGGATCGGAGGCCAAATGGTGATTGACGAAATTAAAGAAAGGTAGCAGCCCTACCACCGATCTTGGCAGCTATCGGTTAATCACTCGTGGCGGCTGAAAAACATTAGATTCAAGTATTCACAAGAAATAGAAACCGGCCTGACCAAAACGATACCGACTTAAGGAATGTAAAAAGGACAAGATTTGGACAATGGAACGTGCGAACTCTGTTTCAAGCAGGAAAAATGGCTACGTTAGCCGCTGAATGCGATAGGTTTAAAATAGACGTAATTGGCATTAGCGAAGTCAGATGGAATGGTACAGGTGAATTCACAAACCAAAAGGGAGGTGTACTTATGTACTCCGGCATGCCCGACGAACAAGACCCTCACATCCGAGGCGTTGCAGTTTACGTAAGAAAAAATGTTAAGCACTCAATCTTATGCTGGAAAGCTATATCCGAAAGAATAATAGTAGTACGTTTTCGCGCAAAGAAATTCAATATGTCTCTAGTACAATGCTATGCTCCAACAGAAGATAGTCCACTTGACCAAAAAGAAGTTTTTTACAGTGCGCTAGAAAGAACGCTCTCTGAAATTCCTAGAACCGATGTAATTATTCTTATGGGCGATTTCAATGCCCAAATTGGCGGAAATAACTCAGAGTATCGAACTGTAATGGGTTCTCATGGTATTGAAACATGTAACGAGAATGGGGAGCTGTTTTTGGAACTTTGTATGAATTATGATCTCAGGATTGGAGGATCCCTATTTCCTCATAAAACGTGTCACAAGGTCACTTGGAAGTCCCCTGCTGGCAACTTCGAAAGTCAAATTGATCATATCTGCATTTCAAAACGATGGAGTAAAGTTCTATGTGATGTCAGAAACAAAAGAAGCGCTGATATCGACAGTGACCACTATTTAGTGGTGGCCGAACTGAAATTTAATATACCTAAACATAGGTATGAACACCCGCAGCATACACGGCGCACGTATAATACCACAAAGCTTAATGTTGGAGCGGTAAAGAATGAAATGATCGAACGTATTAACAACGTCAGTTTGATGGAGGATGCTTCTATTGAGGAAACGTGGCTTCATATTAAAACAAATCTCGAAGAGATCTGCAAGGACACACTGGGCTACCGTAAAAACGAGCAAAAGGAATGGTTGTCGGCAAACTCTTGGGAGCTCATTGCTCAAAGAAGGTGCGTTAAAACGAAAATGTTAGGCGAGGCAGATCCGTTTAAAAAAGCCGAATACAACATAACGTACAGAAGTCTCAGTAGGCAGATCAAGAAAGCAGTCAAAAGCGACAAGAGAAACTATTACGTTGAACTAAGCATGAAAGCGCAAGCAGCATCAGAAAAGGGCGACATGAAGGAGCTGTTTAAGTTAACTAAACAACTAGGTGGAAAATCTTTCCAAAGCAGCGCTCCAATTGAAAATGAAAACGGACAGCTGGTGTTTGCTAAGAACGAGCAGGCAGAAGTATGGAAAAGACATTTTGAGAAAACCCTAAATATCATACACAACGAAAGTGGCGAGCTCACAATACGAAGACATCTAAATCCTAACAGACAAATAGATACAAGGGCACCTAGCGTTAACGAAATAAGAGGTGTAATCATTAGCATGAAAAGTGGTAAAGCACCAGGTAATGATTGTTTACCAATCGAGTGTTTTAAGGCAGACCCCAATGCTGTGTCCAAACTTTTGCTCCCCTTGTTTAAGAAAATCTGGGAACTAGAGTCATTCCCTCTTGAATGGAAGGAGTCTATCATTGTCAAACTACCGAAAAAAGGCGATAGAAAGAAATGCAGCAACTGGAGGGGAATTTCTTTAATACCAGCAGTTTTCCAAATTTTCAACAAAATAATATTAGAAAGAATCGCCGTAACATTAAACGAGCTTATTCATAAAACTCAAGCAGGTTTTCGCCCTGGGCACTCGTGCATCGATCAAATTAACACGATTAGAATACTTATTGAACAAGCCTCAGAATGGAATGCAACCTTGTATTTAACATTTATTGATTTTGAAAAGGCTTTCGACGCGCTTAAGAGAAGTTACATATGGATGGCGTTAAACGCTAAAGGTATCCCTAATAAGATCATTAATATTCTCAAGAAGAGCTACGAAGGGGCCACGAGTAGAGTTTTACATGAAGGTACTCTTAGCGACAGCTTTAATTGCAACAGTGGAGTGCGACAGGGTTGCGCCCTTTCACCGTTACTGTTTATCACAGTCCTAGACGTCGTTTTAGAAGCTGTAGAAGAAAGCCCAATCGGCATTGGTTGGAAGCTGAATCAAAAGCTTGGTCATCTTGAATATGCAGACGATGTAGTATTGTTAACAAACAGACACACTGATATGCAAACTCTTGTTAATAACGTATGTGAGCAGTCATATAAAGTCGGCCTAAAAATTAACGCCTCAAAGACAACAACAATGAGAACAAAAGCAAGCAATCAATCGCCCATCCTTCTGTACGATCAAAACATTGAAGACGTGCAGGAACTCGAATACCTGGGGAGTATAGTCAATAGCGAGGGTGGCACGTCAAAGGACATCAGCAGTAGAGTGAAAAAGGCAAATGGCTCTTTCGCATCGCTTAACAAAATCTGGAAAGCCAACAATGTAAGCGTCGAAACTAAAACCAGAACGCGTCCTGCGTCAAATCGACATTATTATATGGGTGCGAAACATGGTCGCTTACGAGGGCCTCGACTCAAAAGATACAATCCTTTGTCAATAGAAGCCTGCGGCGTATTCTGAACATATATTGGCCTGCAAGAGTCTCCAACGAAGAGCTATGGCAGCGTACCAAACAAAAGCCAATAGAGAAAGAAATTTTGAGACGCAAATATGGCTGGCTCGGCCACACACTTAGAAAACCGACAGATGCAATTGCCCACGCAGTCATGGAATGGAACCCGCAAGGAGTAAGGAGACGAGGTCGTCCCAAAACCACCTGGCGAAGAACAGTGGCAGCAGAAACAAGCAAATCTTTTAACCAGTTACGTTTTACTGCCAGAAACAGAGAGGAATGGAAGAAGTTTATAAATATTATTTGTGAATAGACTAACTTCTAATTTTTAAATTTTTAATTTAATTTTTATAATGAAGAACATGTCTTAATAATAATTCATAGAATACACTATGTTTTTGGTTGTGTAGAGCATGATCGTCGAGTTTAATGGAACGTTTACATAGGTATATCATTATTACATTTATATAACATAATGTTATATGGCTTTAACATTTTGTTATTGCTATGTTTTTGGATAAAAATGTGAGGAGTGGCAAGCACGGGTGATTGCATCTGTCATGTTTTTGACATTAAAAGGTATTTCATAACGATTTGTGATTTAGACGTCGAATTAGAGCAAAATAAAAATCAAAGAATGGCAGTCATCTAATAATTTATTATTATAATTAAAATATGCATCTATATATATAAAAAGTTCAATATAACAAAATAAAATAACATTGATATATTTTATTTCATTCACCTGAGCAAAAATAAAATCCATTATATTCACGCATTGAGTCCAGTTTGAAATCACTTTCTTTTGTTGGCGACGTATTGATAAAATATTTTAAGGTGGCAGTTATAATATATAGTACTATAACATGTAATTCTTATTTTGATATATATATTAATTTTCATTTATTACATATTAAACCTAAACTTATCATACACGTACCTATATGGTATTTGCAAAAAACGCGTGTACTTGAGAACTCAACTACTGAAGACAGCCTGTTAATCAGTATATCTTATAAATACATATATAAATATTAAAACACTGAATCAGATTTTGAATTAAGTAGGCATTGTTTTAAAATCATATTTGATGTATTATTATTTAATTTTTATATTTTTTATAAAAAAATATTGAAAATATTCAGTTTGTCTCGCATTACAGAAAGGGTAATTCGAGAGTATTTGGATGCAAACAGCGTAAAATTTTTGTTTCACTCTGCAACTCTAAAACTCTACAATGGATGTCGTTTTGAAATTAAAGGAACGCAGAAACCTTGCAACACCAGAAACTGCAGGAACATCTGCCGGAGGATTGCTGTTCGATAATGTTAATGACACATATTCATTCTTCATGGCAATATATAGGTTCGTTATAAATAAATTAGTAATTTGGACGACTCCGGCTGAAATGTTTCCTATCGTTTTCGTGTTGCTGGTTATTATTTCTCTAACAGCAGTCGTGAGTAAAAGTATTTTTTTTAATAACTCATAAAACTTCCATTTGACTATCATTTGCAGATTTATAACACCTTGAAGCTCATTTACACTATCTATTTGTACACATTTCAAGACTGGAAAAATCGTCAGTACTATGTCATTCCCTTTCAAATCCAAAGAAAAATACGCATGGCATGTGTGGTATTAAAAATCTTAAGCTGGTTCATCCTCCTCTATACCCTTCTAGCGGTAAGCTCATCTATATACATATATATATATATTTTCTGTATATGTGTAAGGGCAGGCGTATTCAGCTAAACGCTTTAGTAAACAATAAAGCGCATCGTTCTCCTTGCGGATAGCACATCTTTTTTATATTGTCACGTTATTGTAAGTATTTCCTGCACAATTAGTCCATTAGTCCGTTTCCCAGGCTTAAGTGAGGTAGCCTATGCAATAAAACAAATCCCCACGCATTTGTTATCTTTGGAATGCTTTAAATATCTTTCAAAGCATAATTTTTAGTACATATTACCAGAAGTGTATACTCGTATCAGAAGTGCCTATTAGAAGTGCATATAATGAGGAGTGCATTATATAGTGGGAACAGTGGGCTTGGTTTTATTAGCAAATAGCAAACTAAACCGCTAAAAAAAATATATTAACAAGGAAAACGATGCGTTTCATGAGCGAATCATACAAAACGTGCACACACAGTATAAGCTTATATAAAAAATTATGTGATACTCCTAGACATTGATGAAATTATTTATAGGGGCTTTCTAACTACATGCTGACTTGCGTATTGACTTGCATTATGGACTGTACTTTGGACATCATCATATGGCTTTTTGATACCATGCTAACCCATTTTGAGTTGAACAAACGCTCCGTTGCTGCTTTAGTGACGCCATTTATGCGTTTAGTATTCGTAGCGCTGGTGTCCAACTTTTACCGTCGTTTAGGACTGATCTATTCTTTGGAGGAGTTGACTTCACTTGTGTTCCTAACAACTAAACGTTAGTATTTAATGGTGTATGTAATTTAAAAAAAAATCAGTTTTTATTGTTTTTTAATAGAAATTTTTTGAAATTCCTGTTGAAAGTTTAACCAAATAAATCACAAAATAATTATTTGCTACCAATATAAGTGCTCAGTTTTATTTCCATAAATGTTGTAGTTAAAGATCCAAAGTAAAGCATAACATACTTGTATTCTTATTATGACAACCAACTTACGAGGGCGGTTTGATAAGTCAGTGACTTTTTGAATTTTCCGCGCAGTTACTCTAAATACGACAGTGCTGTCGTCAGCTGTAATCTACCAGTGGGCAACTTTCTAGTTTTGAGCAAGCTACGTCGTTCAGTTGGTGTTTGATAGCCATTCAATGCAGACAATTTTTACGAAAATGGGAAAAAGTGAATTTCGTGTGCTGATTAAGCATTACTGGCCAAAATCCACGAATTGGGATTCGAACTGCTGCCCTATTCAGCATATTCTCCAGATTTAGCCCTCTGCGACTTTTTTCTGTTTCCAAACCTAATGAAGTGGCTGGGCGGTTAGAGATTTGAGTCGAATGAAGAAGTCCTTACCGAAACTAATTATTTGGAGGGAATAAGAAAATTAGAAAAACGCTGGACTAAATGTATCGAGCTAAAAGGTGATTATGTATGTATGTATGTAGTATGTTGATCCTTTTTTCGAATCAGCACAATTGGGCACTTTTACTCTTTGATAGCTGGGGGTGCTACAGGGTCCCACCCATCTCATTGACTAACTTATGTATTCCCTATAAGCTTCATGATTATTCAGTGATTGATCTAAGAGTGATTACTCTAAGATTAGATAGTGGTAAGTAGGATAGCCTGCCAATTTTCGCATATAAGTTCAGGGCTCTGTCCCTTATGTATTTTTTGTTCGGATCTATTATAAGGTCTCTTAGCATGTCGTTTGTGCGGATGTACCAAGACACTTTGAAGAGCCTTCGGAGAGCCTGACTTTGAGCAACTTGTAGCTTTGTATAGTAGAGCTGGCAGCTTTGCTATACGCAATACACCCATAAAGTATGTAAAAAAATAAAATGTTTATTTGCCGAAAAAAATTTATTTTATTTGAAAAGTCACTGACTTGTCCAACCGCCCTCGTATATTGATATTAATATTATATTATTTTGAAATTATAATCCATTTTGTGTTTTTATATTTGTATAGCGTGTATGAGCTATTTTCAAAGTATAGAGAAACTATTTTCAAAATATATTTTTAATTAGTAGATACATTTCATTAGGTAATTGTTAAGTAGGAGCTTCATATTCCTACAACAATCGTTGTTTTGTTGCAAATATTTTTGCTGCAATTTGTCATATTTCGCATTCGAATGATTTTAGATAATTATTTTGTTAAGAAAGAGTGCATTATAAATATTATCACTTTTTAGTAGACATTAGTTTGTGTTGTGTCCGTGATATCCACAGAGCTCTGTTATTGTTCTGCCCGAATTGTATTATTGTTTACATTGAATTTAATTCAAATTTATATATTAAAGTGAATCATAAATATCCCTGCGAGTGCAGGCAGTAGTGGAGTGTAATAATTCGGCAACAAAATCCATTGTTGAACTTCATTTGAATTTCGATGCAAACATTTACGAGGGAGACTAAAAAGTTTAATGATAGACAAATTTTTTGGAGTCACAGTCGCTATTTTGATTACGAGTATATTTATTTATTATGATTCACTAAACATACTGCAAAAATAAAAATATGTTAATATGTATATATTCATACATATTTCTTGGGGAAATACCAGCACAGGTAAGACCCGAAACCGCATATTGTTTGAAACCGACACGGTTCCACATTTATTAAAAACTAAATATCTTTTGCAAATGAATTATTCGAAAATTATTTAGCTTGACATCGTCTTATTTGAGAAAAGGTGTCTAAATTTTTTGAGTGCCGTATACCGTGTTCTTCGGAGGTTATAGGTATGTATAGGAAAAGTTAACATCGATCTAATAAGCATATTTGTATGAGAATATATACTTTTATTGTATGTTGGCTTGTTACAAGTTTTAGGTAACAGATAATCAAGTTTTTGCTAGGGAGAGCTATCAGTATACTCAATTTCTTATTTATATTTATTTATGTCATATTAAAAAGTTAAAGGTACTCTCGGTTCAGAATACCGATTCGTAGTTAGATACTAAAATCACAGTTCCCTCCATTGTCTAGATGTGAATATAAATGAGAGAAATATGACGACCTTCAAACAGAATAGCAACAAATTAATAGTTTGGCAAACAATATATGCAGGTATACTGAACATGACAGTTGTTCAGCACATTTCCGAATGTGCAGATTAAAAATTTTATGTTTAACATTGATTTCTGTAATTGCAATAAAAATGACAAGCCTTCATTAAGCACCAAAAAAAAAAATAGAAGAGCACGTCTTTGTTAGCTGAATGACTTCACACCTTTGCTAATAAGATAACGTGATTTGTCACCATTGGAGTTTTATGTGGGTATACCTCCAGCTCAAGAAGTACTCGGATTTTGTATATAAAACACACAAATTTAAATTTTATTCCAAATTTATTTTATCCCCTTCAAAATATGCTCCTTTTGAAGCGATACACATATGCCAATGCTTAACCCAATCTTCCACACACTTTTCGTAGGCCCGTGTAGGTATGGTTTTTAGTTTCTTCAGCGAATTCTCTTTTTACCGATTCAATTGTCTCAAAACGCTTACCACGAAGGGGCAATTTGAGTTTCGGGAACAGGAAAAAATCGCTCGGCACCAGATCTGGCAAATATGGTGCATGAGCGATGACAGTGGTGCCGTGTTTGGTCAAAAAAATTTTCCATAGCAAAAATCGCTAAATACACTTGAGGTAGTTACACATTAACAGCTGTTGTAAACAAACTAATTGACAGATGACACTCAACTATTTGACAGATGTACCATATGTCAAGAAAAGGTGTACCAACATTACAAAAAAAAAGTTAAGGTTTATTACTTAAGGAGTAGTTAACAAACAACAAAATCCGCATACTTTTTGAGCAGATGATCGTACGCAAATGATCGTATAATATCATGTGTATAATCTTCGATCTCTTGGCGCTTGAAATATGACCATTTATATTATCTCCAACTTATGTTAGATATAATGACAAGTGTCAGTGAGTTAGTATCAAGTGTGTGCTAACAAATCAACGGAAATTACCTTAACAGGATTCAATACTTTACGTACTGTATGGTGTCCTGTGAATAAGAAGAGATGAGTATATTATTTTCACGGCCTCAGTGAAAATGGTGTCTACATTTAATTGATTGATGTGTAAGTATCAGAAATAAAATTTGTCCTAAT